AGGACAATTGAGGGCCTCATACATAACAATTACAAAAGGTGAAAACATTTACTGATGCTCAAGAAGGCAACATGATGCATTAAGTGCCGGGGGTGTAAACTTTTGAACAGGATGATGATTTTTCTTATTTTGATTTAATTTTTTTTCATTTAGTACTGCACTTTCAATTTCTGTTTTTCTGTTTTGTGATAGTTGTTCATGAGTCCCTTGTTTGTCTTGAACAGTTAAACTGCCTGCAGATTCTTCAGTTTTCCAGCATTTTCTGCATATCTGAACCCTTTCCAACAGTGACTGTATGATTTTGAGATCCATCTTTTCAAACTGAGGACAATTGAGGGCCTCATACATAACAATTACAAAAGGTGAAAACATTTACTGATGCTCAAGAAGGCAACATGATGCATTAAGTGCCGGGGGTGTAAACTTTTGAACAGGATGATGATTTTTCTTATTTTGATTTAATTTTTTTTCATTTAGTACTGCACTTTCAGAAGCTACATAAATACATACATGTTTCCCAGAAGACAAATAAGGACAATTTACCCTGATCATTCAATTCAAAAAATTTACACCCTCCAGCTCGTAATGCATTGTGTTGCCTTCTTGAGCATCAGTACATGTTTTCACCTTTTGTAATTGTTATGTATGAGGCCCTCAATTGTCCTCAGTTTGAAAAGATGGATCTCAAAATCATACAGTCACTGTTGGAAAGGGTTCAGATATGCAGAAGATGCTGGAAAACCAAAGAATGTGCAGGAGCTAGAGGATTTTTCAGAAGAACAACAGGCAGTTGAACTGTTCAGGACAAACAAGGGACTCATGAACAACTTTTACAAAACATAAACACAGTCGTGGATCATCCAGGAAATGACACACGGTATTAAGATTTAAGGGTATGTAAACTTTTGAAAGGGGTAATTTTTATAAATTCAGTTATTTGTCTTGTGGAGCATATATAAACATCTGTTATGTGAAATAGCTTATTCAAGACAGTACTAAATAATACAAAAAATAACAGGCAATTTTCATGATCCCTCTTAATTTGTGAAAATTATGAACATTTTGCATATTCTGCAAGGGGAATGTAAACTCATGACAACAACTGTATGGACAAAAGTAATGAGAGAATATTAAAAATAGTCTTAGGTTTGGAATTACATAGGGGTGAGTAAACAATGACAGAATTTTCATTTTAGGGTGAACTATCCCTTTAACCAAGTTTGTAACTGGGAACAACTCTATAAAAGCTGTAAGTTTTCATATAGTTCAGATTGTACAACTTCATGCGACTTGTCATTAGACATCTTGCACAATCTGTCATAAGAATGTGCAAGTTAAAAGTTAATGTTGCTCAAACTGTAGAGCAAAACTGTAGAGCTGGTAACTCAAAGTGGTTCAAATTACCAGGGAGTGCATGAACTGATAAAATGAAGACCAAGAATGATTTTTCTTTTGATAAAAGCTTCTGCCAAATGCATTAATGAATGAAATGATTGAAATGAAGTTCACTTTAAAAACAAGATGTTTGGTTCCTTTCCACTGCATCTGCAGTAGCTGTTTTTGCATGTAAGAAGTCATTCTGGGTGAGCAGTCCCTAACTCATCAATCCCAAAGGCCAAAATGTTTGCCAACTCCGCAGCTTTCTGATGCCAGTTGAGTTTCAACACACCTGGGATGTAGAATGTGCATAGATGTGCTGCCTTCTCTGCTAACAGCCCCTCCAATATGTCTCCTTGATCTATGAGTTTTGCTGTGAAGAGCCTTAAGATGTGTATCGGCATCTACTCTAAACAAGTTCATGGCAGCACTCCATTCTTGTAATGTGTTTCTGGATAGTTCTCCTTCCAATAGCTGTGGCGATGAATGATTTAAATTGTTTTCTTGGAAAGAGCCCATGAAATTAGTACCTAAATTGCTTCTACTGGGTCAAGTTTGTCAGTTAAGATTCTCCATAATAGAGCTTTCCAATTACGTGGGTGGAAAGTTTTGCCAGCGTTGGTAGTAATGGGTCAGGATAGGTAATCCTAGACTGGTATTGAAGGGTAAAACATCAACACAATGCTTGTGTAACATCTCCACTAAACAAGAAGCCCTTGCACAGCTATTAGTCTGCCTGGCTGAGAGGCAGAGTATTAGACAGGATGTTCTGGCCTTGCTGATGGTCCAGCGCAATAAAGGTGCTACGATGCTGAAAGTTGTACACCAGCAAAGAGCTGCAAAATAGATGCACTCGCATTAGTGCGCTGCCTGGCGCCCACTCAGAACCCGACCGAGATTAATCACTTGTCACGACGGGTTGTTTTCCAGCTCTCCCTCTCTTTCTCTTTCTCTTTCTCTCTCACTCTGTTTCCCTCTCTCTCCATCTCTCTGTTTTCCTTTGCGGGGGAGAACGATACACAGACTTGCCTTTAATTCTGCTCGCCTGCCCACAGGCGCTGTAGGATTGTGCCAGCTCTGCAGCAGACCACGTTGTGTGTGTGTGTGTGTGTGTGTGTGTGTGAGTATATGTGTCTGCGTGTTTGCCCACCACCTCTATGCAGTTAATGAAGCCATATGCAACAGAAATCACTAATCAAAGTACAGTGAGGTGGTTTTGGCTGAATAACAATTACTCTGGATCTTACGCCATCCACTGTTGGACTCCACTCCAGTCTGAGAAGCCAACAAGGGCGTTTCTAATACAGATACACCACTCCCACTGAGAGGAGGCTGTTTGCAGTGAGTGTGTTTACAGAGGTGGATGCAAACAGACACACACACACACACACACACACACACACACACACACACACACACACACACACACACCGAATGCCATAACCCCTTTTTGAAGCCATTAGCTCTCATTCCATCAGCTGTTGTAAGCAGGCTGAGGAAGCTGTTTGATGAAATATTAGTATACACATTACCCTAATAAGAATAACAGTGCAAACCACAGAGCATTAAAACACACTTAATTAAATATGCACACTGATTATTCACCCTGAAAAAAAATTATGAAATAAATAAATAAAAGTTATGACTTGCTTGTAACCAGTATTTTCTTTTTTCTTTGAGGAATATTTGAATCAGTTTTAAGTCGTTGTTAGATAGGTGTTTCTGTGAACTTTAAAAAAAGTAAATTATCTTAAAGGGATAGTTTACCCCAAAATTTAAATTATGTTTTCATTTACTCACCCTCATGTCATTCCAAATCTGTATGACTTTCTTCCCTCTGTGGAATGTATATATACACCCACGACCACTTTATTAAGTACACCTTGCTTGTACCAGAACTGCCTTATTTCTTCATGGTGTAGATTCAACAAGGTGCTGGAAACATTCCTCAGATATTTTGGTCCATATTGACATTGTTGCAGATTTGTTGGCTGAACATCCATGATGTAAATCTCCCTTTCCACCACATCCCAAAGGCGCTGTACTGGATTGAGATCTAGTGACTGTGGAGGCCATTTGAGTATAGTGAACTCATTGTCATGTTCAATAAACCAGTTTGGGATGATCTGAGCTTCGTGACATGGCACATTACCATGGTCTGACCATAGACATGGTCAACATCAATACTCAGGTAGGCTGTGGCATTTAAACAATGCTCAACAGGTACTAAGGGGCCCAAAGTGTGCCAAATAAATATCTCCCAACACCAGCACATCAGCAGCAGCCTGAACCATTGATACAAGGCAGGATGAATCCATGTTTTCATGTTGTTTTTACTCCAAATTCTGACCCTATAATCTAAATGTCGCAGGAGAAATCGAGACCAGACAACTATTTCCAATCTTCTATTGTCCAATTTTGGTGAGCCCATACAAGTTGTAGCCTCAGTTTACTGTTCTTAGCTGACAGGAGTGGCACCCGCTGTGGTCTTCTGCTGCTGTAGCCCATCAGCTTCAAGGTTCAACGTGTTGTGCTTTCAGAGATCTTCTTCTGCATACCTCGGTTGTAACGAGTGCTTATTTGAGTTGCTGCTGTCTTTCTGTCAGCTTGAAGTCTGGCCATTCTCCTCTGACAAGGCATTTTCTGCTCACAGAACTGCCGCTCACTGGATATTTTCTCTTTTTCGAACCATTCTCTGTAAACCCTAGAGATCCCAGCAAATCAGCAGTTTGTGAAATACTCAGACCAGCCTGACTGGTATCAACAACTATGCCATGTTCAAAATCACCTTTCTTCCCCATTCTGATGCTCGGTTTGAACTTCAGCAGATTGTCTTCACCATGTCTACATACCTAAATGTATTGAATTGCTGCAATGTGATTGGCTGATTTGAAGGTTTTGTTAACAAGCAGTTGAACAGGTGTACCTAATAAAGTGGCCGGTGAGTGTAAATATAGGCTAGTTGTTTACAGCTTCCCTTAAGATGCATTTATTGATATTAATGTTTAGTGTCTGCAGTAAGAGCGCTCATCTAGAAACTCTCAGTGTGTGTTTTTATTGTGATTAAACAAAGGGACACATCTGTATCTGCATCAGCTGTTCTGTTCAAGACCATCAGATATCTGATGTGAAAAATCTATAGTCTGGTAAGCCTGCCTGCAATTTGTAAAATGCTATCAAAGACTTCCTCATCCTAGGGCTTCATGTCTCCTGTTTTATAATCAGCCTTCTACACATGTACTAATCAGGGGCTTTAATCAGAACAAGAGAGACCCACAAATAACCAACTCATCTGCAGCAATTACGGACTTCGCTGTGCATGAGCCACATCATGAGGTGAATCTCACTGAGGTAGGATTAGTTTAAATGAAAATGCACCTTGGTAATGGTATAAAGAGGCAATTTAATTTGGGATATTTGTCTGATCTTCTCATTTGGGATTTTACTATTGGACTTGAGTTTATTTGGATAATGAGTTTTATTGATGTCCATTTACTGAGAAAAACTGCCAGTGCTTTTGTCAGGCCACTAACAGCTGAAGAAAAAAAAAGGTTGTTTAGTCATTTAACAAACATATAAATGTTAACGGTATGTTAAGATCTTATTTTTTTTTCTACCTGCAGACATCCATGATGAGAATGGGCTGAGACCTGTTATGGTGTACATCCATGGTGGGTCCTACATGGAAGGTACAGGCAATATGATTGACGGCAGCATTCTGGCCAGCTATGGAAATGTAATAGTGGTGACCCTGAACTATAGGCTGGGAGTGCTGGGTAAGTCATTGGTTTTTCATTAAATGGTGGATGGTTTTAATTATGGAATATCTTGCTGACCTTCTGTTTTATATTCACCCTCCTACACGCATAATAAAGATATACACATGTGTTAAAGTGGCTCATGATCTTGGAATAGCTGAGAAATAAAAGGGTCATATAAAAGGCTTAAAAGTCACAGAGTTTAAAATGAAGATTTAATTTTGTTTATTTGTTGAATAAAAATAAGAAGAGATGATGTTATGTAAACGTTTTATAAGACATAGTTTATTCCCTGCAGTTATGGTCATGAAATACAAGCAGTATTTATGATTTGTTTATTAATCTTTTTCTTGTTGGAAGAAGTCCCAAATGAGTTCAGGTTCTTGACCTTTTGTGCTTCAGTGTTATTATACTTATATAATATTTACTAATATTTTGAATAAGCTATTTTTTTTTATATTTTCAGTTTAAATTTTTATTGTAGTTTACATTCTAATTGTATGTGCCTTTTGTTGTTTTTATTTGGTTTCTTTATTATTTATATTTAGCTTTAATTCGTTTTTTTTTTTTTTTTGTTAGTAATTTTAGTACTTAGACATTTTATTTCAGATAGGAAGGCAAAATTTCTCATTTTATATTATTTGTTTTTCATCTGTTGTTTAAATTTGATTTGTTTTCAGATTTATTTCAATTAACAAAATTATTATAATAAATGCGACTGATGTTGTTTTACACATCCAGCTATAGTTTATTGTCTTTGCATCATGGCCAGGCGAAACTGCCCTCATAAAAAATAATGATTATCTTCCACAAACTAGGGGAGGACAAATTTAGTACTTTCTAAAAGAGAGAGAGAGATATGCTGCTACATGACTAGTCATCAAATTCAGAATCTGTGCTGTCTAATAACTTTTAAAGTCCACTTTGGATTTCATAAACTCTTTTTCAACTTTCACTGCAATACAGTTTTGTTTCAGTCGGATGTAGTATGATTAATAATTTATGTTTAATAATCTCATTCTTTCAGATTGTTACTTCTCTTATTGAATGTGGTGGGTAAATATTAAAAAAAGATCATAGTTTTATTCACAATCCGTCACGTCAACTCTTATTATAACTCATTATCAGCCAAAGCTCTTTGTGAGGCTGGTTATATTTAGATGTTTTGGAGGAAAGGGTATAGGTCCACTGCAAAAGTGTGCACTGCAGGAAAAAGACAGTAGTTGGGGGAAAGGGAGGAAATGGCTGTAAGACTGAGGACAGGAGTGAGAGAGTGCGAGCGAGGCCTTTGTTAAAAGTGTTTCTGCTTCTCTGCCTGACAGTGCTCAGCATGAAGGTGATGGAGATATTCTAAAGTATCTGTCTGTCTCCGTCTTTATAGAGAGCAGTTTGAAGTGTGGTGGCAGTGAAAAGCAGAGTCCTAGATGGAGGGTAAAGTGAAATTGGAACATGTTCCCAAGCATGTAAAATTGCAGGATCGTTTCCTTTTTGTACCCCCTCTCCAGAGAGCGAGAGCTCTTTTTCTATGACAAAAGTCATATGTTAACACCAGGTATCTTGGTGTAATAATTTATGTTTAATAATCTCATTCTTTCAGATTGTTACTTCTCTTATTGAATGTGGTGGGTAAATATTAAAAAAAGATCATAGTTTTATTCACAATCCGTCACGTCAACTCTTATTATAACTCATTATCAGCCAAAGCTCTTTGTGAGGCTGGTTATATTTAGATGTTTTGGAGGAAAGGGTATAGGTCCACTGCAAAAGTGTGCACTGCAGGAAAAAGACAGTAGTTGGGGGAAAGGGAGGAAATGGCTGTAAGACTGAGGACAGGAGTGAGAGAGTGCGAGCGAGGCCTTTGTTAAAAGTGTTTCTGCTTCTCTGCCTGACAGTGCTCAGCATGAAGGTGATGGAGATATTCTAAAGTATCTGTCTGTCTCCGTCTTTATAGAGAGCAGTTTGAAGTGTGGTGGCAGTGAAAAGCAGAGTCCTAGATGGAGGGTAAAGTGAAATTGGAACATGTTCCCAAGCATGTAAAATTGCAGGATCGTTTCCTTTTTGTACCCCCTCTCCAGAGAGCGAGAGCTCTTTCTCTATGACAAAAGTCATATGTTAACACCAGGTATCTTGGTGGCAGCATCTGTGTGTGTGTGTGTGTGTGTGTGTGTGTGTGTGTGCACTGCACAGACTGCTGTCTAGTTGGCCCATGCCCAGTCCACCACCAGCGAGACAGATTTTCTTCTCAGCTGTTTTTAGACCTAGTGTTGTAATGGCTTTATACAGCTTTTAGACATATGCTCACTGATTAGCCAAGGGTGAGAGGAGCATTCCGGTATGAAAATACTGTTTGCAGAAAGTCATGCTCTCCTCTCTGGAATGAGCTAGTTAGAGAACAAATGTGTGACTGACCAATATGTAGATACATTTAAGATAGATACAGCGACAACGTGGTATGCATAACAGGGTTGTTAGTGTCATAATCATGTGGGAAGTAATACGACTGCATGGGCGTCTATTTATAATAATGTTGTATAGGGTATGTGGGCATGCATTTGTACGGATGTGCATTTTCTGTTGAATGCACATCTGTAACTGTGCGTGTGCTTTCATAGTAATGTCTTCATCTGCAGTGGGGCACATGTGGCCTGCCGATGATCCAGTGGAGGCTGTTCGAATGAACTGAGATGTGTCACTGGCACATGACTGTCTCTCTCTCTCTCTCACATGGCAACGTGAGCAGATTGCTAATGTGCTTCATAATACAACAGAATTGGTCTGTTTCTAACTCTTCATCACAGTGCATTATGGGAAACTTTATTCCAATTTGTCATAATGAGGTATTTATGTATGCATCACTAAATTAAGTTGACATAGCAGCATAAAACAGTTGTCAATTCTGATTTTTTTTAATACTGTTTTTTTTTTTTATATCTGTTATGTTCACACACAATTTGGTCATAAAGCGGATTCTATGATCTCAAATAATTTTTTATTTTTATTTTTATTTTTATTTTTTGTGAACTAGCCCAATAATTCAGCCAAAAATAAAAATTGAGTCATCATTTACTGTAATTGCCCTCATGTTGTTACAAATATGATTTATTTTCTTCTGCTGAACACACACACACACACACACACACACACATGGTATTTTGAATAATGTTGGTAAACAACAAACCATTTTCCCATTGACTTCCAAACTAAGACATTTTTCAAAATATATTCTGTTGCACAGAAGCAGAAGAAAGAAATGCACACAGGTTTTAATAAATGGCGACGTGTATTTTTATATTTGGGTGTACTATCCCTTTAAATATTTGAAGGACTCTTGTTCCAGCCATCTAGCCAATTGAAATATAACATGTATCAATTAATAAATGAATGAATGAATGAATGAACGAACAAACGAACGAACGAACGAACAAATTAATTAATGAATGAATAAACAAATGAATGAATGAATGAATGAAAGGTAATCAAGGCTGCACTTATTTAATATACAGTAAAACAGTAAAATTGTGAAATAGTATTACGATTTACAATAGCCATTTTCTATTTGAATATATTTTAAAATGTAATTTATTCCTGTGATGCAAAGCAAAATTTTCAGCAGCCAGTCTTCAGTGTCATGTGATCAGTCAGAAATCATTATAATATGCTGATTTGCGGCTCAATAAACTTTTCTTATTATTATCAATGTTGAAAACAGTCGTGCTGCTTCATAAATAAAAAAATAAAAATAAATAAATAAAATAAATAAAGTAATACTTTTTATATAAGGTAAAGATACACTACTGTTTAAAATGTAAAACTTAAAAACAAAAAAAATATATAGTATATAGTATAGTATATTTTAAAAATTGTATATTGAAAGTGTTTGGATTTTTATTTTTTTTTATTAAATAGCTTTGTGTCGATTGTCTTAAGATGTTCTAGTGATCTAGAAGCCAGCATCTTTGACTTTGGTCATTGGTTACATGCATCATTTGTGACTGTAATTATGAACAGGCCAATTTGATTGATTCAGATCTGTTAGTATACTGTTGTCATCCCTAAACAGTGACACTGTGAATGTAGCCAATTGTATAACTGATTTCTTGCTGAACCTCTAGTAGACATGCACATCGGAAATCTGCTTCTAGAGATTTTACAGTCTATAACCGTAAAACTGAACTGCAGAGAGTCCTGCAGAATCTCACTTTGGCTTCTATCAAGCAAGACACTAAAAAAATCACCCAAATAACCCTCTGAGTCGTTTAACAGACAGTGGTTTACGCTGCAGTGAGTCAATCTCTGCGGAGCCTTTATCCTATTCACTTCTGTCTCTGTCAGTCTGTCTGGCCTGGAAGGCTGTGTGCTTTCATAGTAATGTCTTCATCTGCAGTGGGGCACATGTGGCCTGCCGATGATCCAGTGGAGGCTGTTCGAATGAACTGAGATGTGTCACTGGCACATGACTGTCTCTCTCTCTCTCTCACATGGCAACGTGAGCAGATTGCTAATGTGCTTCATAATACAACAGAATTGGTCTGTTTCTAACTCTTCATCACAGTGCATTATGGGAAACTTTATTCCAATTTGTCATAATGAGGTATTTATGTATGCATCACTAAATTAAGTTGACATAGCAGCATAAAACAGTTGTCAATTCTGATTTTTTTTAATACTGTTTTTTTTTTTTATATCTGTTATGTTCACACACAATTTGGTCATAAAGCGGATTCTATGATCTCAAATAATTTTTTATTTTTATTTTTATTTTTATTTTTTGTGAACTAGCCCAATAATTCAGCCAAAAATAAAAATTGAGTCATCATTTACTGTAATTGCCCTCATGTTGTTACAAATATGATTTATTTTCTTCTGCTGAACACACACACACACACACACACACACACATGGTATTTTGAATAATGTTGGTAAACAACAAACCATTTTCCCATTGACTTCCAAACTAAGACATTTTTCAAAATATATTCTGTTGCACAGAAGCAGAAGAAAGAAATGCACACAGGTTTTAATAAATGGCGACGTGTATTTTTATATTTGGGTGTACTATCCCTTTAAATATTTGAAGGACTCTTGTTCCAGCCATCTAGCCAATTGAAATATAACATGTATCAATTAATAAATGAATGAATGAATGAATGAACGAACAAACGAACGAACGAACGAACAAATTAATTAATGAATGAATAAACAAATGAATGAATGAATGAATGAAAGGTAATCAAGGCTGCACTTATTTAATATACAGTAAAACAGTAAAATTGTGAAATAGTATTACGATTTACAATAGCCATTTTCTATTTGAATATATTTTAAAATGTAATTTATTCCTGTGATGCAAAGCAAAATTTTCAGCAGCCAGTCTTCAGTGTCATGTGATCAGTCAGAAATCATTATAATATGCTGATTTGCGGCTCAATAAACTTTTCTTATTATTATCAATGTTGAAAACAGTCGTGCTGCTTCATAAATAAAAAAATAAAAATAAATAAATAAAATAAATAAAGTAATACTTTTTATATAAGGTAAAGATACACTACTGTTTAAAATGTAAAACTTAAAAACAAAAAAAATATATAGTATATAGTATAGTATATTTTAAAAATTGTATATTGAAAGTGTTTGGATTTTTATTTTTTTTTATTAAATAGCTTTGTGTCGATTGTCTTAAGATGTTCTAGTGATCTAGAAGCCAGCATCTTTGACTTTGGTCATTGGTTACATGCATCATTTGTGACTGTAATTATGAACAGGCCAATTTGATTGATTCAGATCTGTTAGTATACTGTTGTCATCCCTAAACAGTGACACTGTGAATGTAGCCAATTGTATAACTGATTTCTTGCTGAACCTCTAGTAGACATGCACATCGGAAATCTGCTTCTAGAGATTTTACAGTCTATAACCGTAAAACTGAACTGCAGAGAGTCCTGCAGAATCTCACTTTGGCTTCTATCAAGCAAGACACTAAAAAAATCACCCAAATAACCCTCTGAGTCGTTTAACAGACAGTGGTTTACGCTGCAGTGAGTCAATCT